CAACGGCAATTAGTATTTCCTTTTTTTCAACTGTTGATTTCAAATTGATCCAACGATAATCAAATAGGTAATAAGAGTAGTAAGGTTAAAATAATACTAAGTATAACCGCACCTAAAATTATAGTTAAACACATGTGATATATCAAAATTGGGTATAATAAAATACAATTAAGTTTGGACAAAATTGGATATATAATGGGTGTAAGAAAGGTAAGCAGAATTTGTGAAGGAAAAAAATTAATAATCAAATAAATAAATAAGAATCAGCTTTTGAAATAATAAACATGCAATATATATGTTCTGTCCTGAAAACAGATGTCTAGCTCAAAGGACTAGTGAGTTTCTTTTGAATCTAAGTGCTCTCTAAGATATCTATGAATCAGATACCCTTGAGTATAGTAGATCACTACGCACAAGTAAGATAAAAACAAATTTCGCTAAAGTGGTGATATGTGCGCAATGACAACATAACAATAAAGAGAGAGAATGAATCATACCTGCATATTTTATCCCTTGTTTATAGGGTTTACCTGTGGGTATAAGAATTCTGAACCTTTTGTGCCTCATCTAGAAGCCCAAGCCCAAGTTTGATATTGTCGTATTAGAATTAATATCTTGGAACGATAATCTCTTTTGATTTTATTATATTCTCTTTTGATTTTATTATATTCTCATTGTTATTGCCCCTTATTAGGCTATACATTGGATAAGACTCATATATAAGTCCATAATAGTTTCCCCCTAGTCAGTTAGTTTGGAAATTTAGGCTACTGGGGTGGCTATAATTTGGCAACTCTATCATTTATTTCATGGTTATCCGAGTTTCTATTTAAATCATCCAGATTTAACATTGATTATCTCTGATTATCATCTGTGTTTGGATTTGATGGATATTAGATCAATAATAATTGTTGATTCCAGGAGATAATTCTTATCATCTGAGTTAATCTGAATTATGATTAACTTCGGTTGATATATCCCTGACTTGTCCCCATCCCGAAAAATCTTAAGATAAACAAATTGTTTATCAATCCGGTTTAAGTGCAATTTATTTTACATATTATAATGGATCTTTTCAAGAAGATCATATGATTGACCTTTTCATTGCATCCTATGTGAACCTCGGTTCTTAGTCATTTCATAATTTCTTATGTTGTGACGCTACACGAACCGAATTTATCTTTCTCATATTAATTCTTATCCCTAAGATCATAGATCCGGGACAAGAATTTCATGCTTCACAAGTAATGATGGAAACTTTAAAGGAAAATAGCATACTATAGCCAACATATGTCGTCTTCGCGTTCCGTGCGCACTTAATGCACGAATCATTTCATCTATCTAATCATTAATTTTGAGGTGAATTGAGATTCATGCCTCTATCCTTTTCTATTCGCACCACCAACGGTTACGTTTTACTTTTCATATTCCCCCTCTTTTCATTCATTTCTCATTTGAATTTCTGAGGAGTCTTCTTTTGTTCTCTCTTCATTTTCATTTCTGAAGGGTCATCTGGTTCGAAGTGCTTCGTAACTCTTTAAACATCTAGAACTCAGGTACCTTCGATGAATTTGAATCTCTCTTTTTCTTTGGCTTATTTTAAGCATTTGAAATAGTTTGTGTTCTTGAATCTTCCTCGTCTTTGTCCATATCTTCAATAACTTTAGTTCTTGAACTTTCTAATGCTCTTCCTTTCTGATAACTCTGAAATCTTGAATCTTTGTTGCTTTCTACCCATTGTTATTCTATATTTTTAAAAATATTGAATCTCTTTGAATCTCTATAGTATTTATGGGTAAACACATTGTATCGCTCTTTTCCCCCTTTTTCATAAAACACTTTAAGTGTTTACTATATTTGATTTCTGTTAACAATGAGAGGGAAAAGAGATTTACAACGTTCTTGTCATGATGAAGTAACAAATAAGGAGGAGGATGAGGCTGAGTTTCTCAAAAAGATTTCTCTTGAATCCTAGTTTTGGTTTTGGGGGATACCTCGTAGCGAAGAAGAAAAACAGGAAGCAATGCTTTGTGGATATCGTAGTGGTGGTAGTAGAAAAAGATCTAGATTATCAAGTCCTAGGAACCGGGGTCGAGGTCGATCTATCTCAAACACTCCAACTTCCTAACAATTTTCAAACTCTAGATTAACTCCATTGTGTAATGCTTCACATCAAACCTCAGATAGATGAACTTCTTGAAATATTATCATTTCGAAACATTCAATTTCAAATAAAGAAAAACAAGTTGATCCGTGTTATTCTTGTGTCTTCTTGAGTTATAAACTTATAGAAAGAGGTTGTGACTCTTTAGCCGAGTCTACTTTATCGAGTTATCATAATAAGACTCTTTCAGAACCAAACTGGGCTCCTGGTGATGCAAATCATCCAATTTCAATATCAGATAAATCTTCAAGCTTATCAACTAGTAGCTCTTTTGATTTAGGTATATCTATCAATTTTTTTTCTAATTTTGTCTTTCCTTGTTTTAGGTATTTATGGGGTCATCTTCTACAAAATTATAGGGGAATCTCGCTCTGCTGAGTCGGATTCCAAACGTCCTCCAGCTGTTTTGATATCTAAATATCCTTCGGTCATATATGAAGTGTTAAATACTTTATCTGAGATGAGTGTGGAGGACGTTGTCGAGCTTTCTATCGGTAAAATAGAAGATTACGATATTATTCCTTCCAATTAGAATGAACCAGTGTGCTCTGGGAGTAACTCGGATGAACCTTATTTTTTCTTTTTCTACCGAGATTTGATTACCAGATTCGGCCTTCGCTTTCCTTTATTCAAGTTTCAAATTATCCTTTTGAACCATCTCCATATTGCTCCTACTCAACTTCACCCTAATAGTTAGGGTTTCGTTTGCCTTGTATTATTCCACTTTTCTTTTATTTCTTCTCAGTCCTTACTTCTTGTACTGGTCATGAGCCTCGAGAAAGAAAAGGAGGATTAATATCTGAGGTTATCCCGCTAGAAAAATTTTCAATGTTTATTCCGACTCTTTTAAAAACTTTAAAGAAGGATATTTTAAAGTTGTTTCCCTAGTTGGAAAACAACCCTGGTTTCTTTGTTCTCTTGAGATCGGAGAGGTGGAAGGGAGGTTACTACTTTATTGGTCTCCAGACCATCATGATTTTCGTCCGTCAAGTTATCGTTTCAAAGAAACTCAACTTTCGGATATTGAAATTGACGCGACTGCATCATTGCTTGAATATATGAAAAAGCAGGGCCATGTTAGTGTAGCTTCACTCATTTTCAATTCTTAATACGAGTTGGATTCAAAATTGAGTGTGATTTAGCTATTTCTTTCTAATTTATTTTGTAATGGAATCAATCTCTTTACATAACTAATTCCATTATCTTTGATTTTGCAGTTCCAAATATGTTATGACCACCAAGTTTCATCGATACTTTGAATTGAGGTAGAGGTAAATCCATTCCCACCCCTAATTCAACAACGAAAAAAATGTAAAGCTCTCGATTCTAAGGCGACAAAAAACACTATTGGCTTGTCTCAATCTAAGAGAAATTCGGCAAGTAAATCCAAGTATATCTCGATTTCTGCTACTGGAGGTTCTTCCCAAATTCAGGTAGATACAAGCCTTCCTTCTCCTCCTATTGGTCTGTTTAGAGGTGCCATTTGGGAGATCAGAATTACGGGCGATCTTCGCAGTGTTATCCGACCTCGTACTCATTTTTACGAGCCTTGCACCTCTTCTGATGTTGAACTCAAGGGATTAGAGGATATTGAATTATATTCTTTGAAGGAAACTTCTTTGGTAAAAATTTATGCTTCAATAAAAACTAAATATAGTAAAGCATACTCCGAGGTGATTGCTCTTAAAGAGAAAAAAAGCCAAAACCTATAAGGAGTTTACCAAAATGAAGGAGGAGCGAAAAATGGTGAAGGAAGATTTGATTACATCCAGGAGGAGCAATTCTTTAAATGTTGATTCTCTGAAATCATGCAAAACAAACTGAAGACAAGTTGAAAGAAGCTTAAGCAGATGCTTCATATTATTATTCTGAGCTTCAAAAAGTTGTTTTGAGATATTTCAACAATTCTCTTTCTCAAATTAAGTTCCTCAACTCGGGTGCAAGCTCAACACCGAAGGAATGCATCATCTTGATATTCCTAAAAAGTGAAAAGCTGGAATGTATGTTTGAAATTGTATTTTGATTTGGGGCCTTTGAGCCCCCTTTGGTATTGTAACGAATATTGTCAAGTTTGTTCCCGGTTCCTATTTACTTTTAATACTTTTTCTCCATTTGGTAAAGTGAAGAGCGAATATTGTTGGGTTTGTTCCCGGTTTGCATTATTTTATATCTGCATGCATTACTTTGCATTCGATATTATTTGAATGTGGCCGGCTATTTAGGCCAAGGCCTATATAGTTGCTTACAATCATATATCTTGATTAAAGATATGATCTTAGCTTATTTACCCAAAATTTAGGTTTATGAAAAATTCTTTATCTATTAACTTGAATTTATATTCGATATATATTTTTGATCTGGCCAAGGTCATACTATATTATGTGGAATCCACACTTTTATTTTCCCGGTATTACCATGACATTTATTTATTTTAACTCGGCATATTGCCAAAGTTCATATTTTGAAAGTAACCTTTTATCCCTTCCATTAATAACCCGATTTTCATCTTAACCAAGATTAATTTTCCCAGATTAAGGGCGATAACATCATATGTTCAATGTTGGCTTATTAGGCATATTTCTTGAACATTCTGACTTGATCAGAGTCATTTTGACAATTCATCTCTTTAACCCAGATCATATTATATTGATGCATCACAGTTGACTTGCAAGAATATACTTAAATGAAAATTTTCTCATTTATTTAAAATGAAAATATTGATTACATGATTTTATTGATGCAGTCGACTTTAAACGATCCCTATAAAACAAAAATAATTCACCTAAGTGCTGAGGTATATTCATAATAGCCTTCCTATGAAACTCAGATTCTAACTTTAATATTGATTCAGTTTATTCGTGTTCCATGTTCTTTTGACAGGCTTCTTTTCTATTGTCTCCAAGATATAGGCTCCTTTACCAAGTTTCTCTTTTACCTTGTAAGGGCCTTCCCAATTTGCAGCTAGCTTTCCATCTCTGACATTCTTGTTTCCTATATCTGCTCTCCGAAGTACCAAATCGTCTTTTTCAAACGATTTTGACTTTACTATTCTATTGTATTTAGCTGCAATTAGTTGCTTAGTTGCCATATCTTGAACCCTGACTTCATCTATTAAATCCAGCTCTACAGCTAGAGCTTCATTATTCTTTTCTTCTTCTTCTTCTTTCAGAGTCTTCATTCTCCTCCAAGATAGCTCTCCTATTTCAACCGAGATTATAGCCTCACATCCATAAGTAAGTCTGAATGGAGTCTCTGCAGTTTTGAATACTTGTTCTCTATCCCCACAAAACAAAATATAATTGATCAACCCAACTTGCTTTAGCATCTTCCATTCGCTTCCGGAATCCATCCACAATTATTTTATTAGTAGCTTCAGCTAGCCCATTTGATTGGGGATGTTCCATAGATGCGAAGTGATATTGAATCTTGAAATTAGTCATCAATTCTTGAAACTTCTTATCAGTGAACTGTGTTCCATTATCTGTCACTATCTCGGCTGGAATTCCAAATTTGGAAATAATATTTCTTAAAAAATCTTTGAACTTTAACCGAAATAATGGTAGTAACCGGTTCAGCTTCTATCCATTTTGTGAAATAATCAGCAGCTACAATCAACCATCATAATTGGCCTTCAACCGCTTGAAATGGTCCTAGCAAATTCATGCCCCGTTTATAGGAGGGCCATGGAATCGAGTTACGCACTATCTGCACGTTTTCTCAAAAATCCTAAAATTCATCAAATATTCCAAATAATCATTTTTCTTAACTCTATATACCTTTTTCAACATATATTCAAATTTTATATCAGTAATCTCATTTCTGGTTTACCTGGTGGAATTGACACCGCAATATTTTATCAAATAAAAATTACTATTAATCAAATTTTCAGAAACTAGCCTAATCACTCAATTTTTCATTCTGAATCCATTTTCAGTATTATTTTCATCAAATATGGTCTACCTTTACCATTTCATATACTAGGGTTACATATTTTTCAATTTACCATTTTACCCTCGTATGTATTTTGACTTAAAAATTAGGGTTTCCACTAAAATACCCTCTAACCCACAATTTAATTATAAATATTCATTTGAAACATGTGAGGTGTTGTTATATATTCAAACTTATTCTCTATAGTCCCCTTCCCATCATGGGTCTATGGGTTAAGTCTACATTGTTACCCACACTAATTAGTCTTATAGATAACAAAGCCTAAATCAAAAGATCACTTAATTAAATGAGTTTTATATTACACCCCCGTATGAATCATGACTTAGTCCATTTTTATAAAAACAAAAAAAATAAATACAATTGATTGCAATCCATAATATAAAAAATCTAGCATTATATAGTTATAGAATTAATTGTTTCTTCTGTTGTAGATACATTATATGATGAGATCTACCAAAATAAAATTTAAAAAAGAAAAATATCATTTTTTGTTGTTTGTGTAAGAGGTTAATAGTTGCTGGAGAAACTATTGAGCTATAGTTATATTTCGTGAAAATATTTATGTTCAAATAATTGAACCATATTGGTATAACTTCAAAACCTTAGTATACTCAAATAAACAAAAGGTTGCAGCCTAAAGAAGAGGATATCTTTGAGCAAATCCGTTTAATCGGCAACAAAAAAGAAGAAGAAGTAAGAGACGCGGAGAATGAGAGTTGCAATTCGAATATATTGTTATTAGAGGAAAGAAATTATTTTGGTCTGTTAATGACATCATACCATAACCCAACTTGCTAAAGTGGGATATCTTAATTACGTGTTGTTTGTGTCCAAAGGAGATAGATATAGACAGAGCAAAAACATTTGCTTTGGTGGCTTGCCATCATTAAAGAGCTTCATGATCCAATCGCTGCATAGTTTTGCTCAAACTTGCCCGTTTAGATGGGCGTATGAAAAAATTGTTTTATATGTTTTTTTTTTTTTTTTTGAATTTTGTTTTACAAAAGCTAAAAATATTTATAGTTTTTAAAAAAATATTTGGGTTTTAAAAAAAATATTTGGGTTTTAACTTTTATTTTTCTAAAATACTAAAAATTTCAATTTTTAAAAAATAGTTCTTTTAGCTTTTTTGTGATTTCTTTTTTTTTTTTTAAAGTAGACATCCAAACCGACTTTGTAATAGAAGTATTTTTTTATTAATTTTTTTAACTAAAAAAACTCATCCAAACAATCGTATTACTCTTTTTTTTTGTCATTTTTTTAATTGAAAATAATGATTGCACATACTACATGAATTATTCTATGTGTAATTTAAAATGAGTTGTTATTGATCATTCAGATGGGGCTGTGCTCCTTTGTTTGATAAATTTCTACAATACTACAGATCCACCCAATTTTTTATACATTCCTCCAATCAAAATCAAACAATAAATATCAATGCTAACATGCAAAAGAGAAAAGTGAAGTCTCAAATACATTATTAAATTTTAAATGAAAATAATATGTACTACTGATATATCAAAGATAAGATCCTTTGTTTGCCTATTGAGATTATAGTGGGTTTTCATTGGGTTGTGTTTTTTTATTTCCTCAGGCCATTCGGTAAAAGGGAGTGAATGAGGGTGTTGGGGGTGGAGTTTGTTGGGCTTCCTCCTTCAATGCTAAGCCCAAGCCCATTGAGGGGTTTCCTAAAAACCATAACCCTATATCTCACCTCCTCTATATATTCATTAGTTGTGGGTGGAGGCTAGGTTAAGTGAATGAGAGAGAAAATTTGAGAGATAATTATTTGATTGTTTGAGCAAAGCTTTATTTATGCTTTGCATTTGAGAGATCTCTAGAGAGAGTTTGAGTGAAACATCTCTAGGGTAGTTTGATTATCATCATTGTTGGAGAGGTTGAGTTAACCACCACATTGGTGTATTATGATTATTTTGTAACCATTATTTTCATAGTGGATTTTTGATCTGGACTAGGTCCCGTGGGTTTTTACTTCTTTATTGGAGAAAGTTTTTCCACGTTAAAAGTTGCTTGTGTTCTCTCTCTCTTCTTCTCCTCTCTCCCCCGTGTTTACGTTTTGATTTTTCCGCTGCGCTGCCCGACCTGGTGAAATTCAGGTCGAGGTATTGCTGAGATCTGAGATCGAAGATCTCATTGACTGATTTTCGCAAAGGCCCCTGAGCTGATCTGAGGGAACCGAGTTCCCAACAGTGGTATTAGAGCCCGAGTTCGACGGGTTCTGAGGGAGACGAGATGGAGACCAGTGGCATAACCAATGATGGAGACATGTTCAAGTTGACCGCAGATAATTTCACCTATTGGAGACCGATGATGGAAGATTATCTCTACTGCAAAGATTTACATGAGCCCATTATCCTTGATGAGAGATCGGCAGGCAAAACTGATAAGGAGTGGGAGATTCTGAGTGGGAAGGCGGTAGCCACGATCAGGAAATATATTGATAAAAGCCTCTTTGAGCACGTGTCCGAGTTCACGAACGCGTATGAGTTGTGGACGAAGCTGGAGTCCATGATTCAGAAGAAGACTTCCAGGAATAAAGCATACCTGGTTCGCCGACTTGTGAAGCTTGAATACAAGGACATCATGAGCATGATTGAACACCTCAACACCTATAAAGGTATTGTGAATCAGCTGTCAAAAGCTGAGATGAAAATTGATGATGAGATGCAGGCTTTGCTGCTGTTGAGCTCGCTGCCAGAAAGCTGGGATACTCTGGTGGTGACTTTGAGTAATTCAGCTCCAGAAGGAAAGTTGAAGATGGATGTCGTGACAGACAGCCTCCTGAGCGAAGAAGTCAGGAGAAGAGAACGAGGTGTTGCAAGCACGTCTGAGGCCAACATTGCTGAGAACAAAGGGAAATCCGACTCCCGGGGTAGAAGCAAAAGCAGGGGTAGAGGTTGTGACAGACGAGAAAATTCCAGAGGTCGGTCAAAGCCAAAATATGATTTGAAGTGCTTTTACTATGGAAAGACAGGCCATAAGAAGCTAGACTGCTGGACCCTGCAGAATGATGAGAAGAACGACTCTGTGAAGCCGGATCAGATTATTCCCAAGAAGAGGAAAGATAAGAGCACCACTGCGGTGGCTGCCAACCCGGATGCCGAGATATTCTTCCTTGGTGAGGATAATTATTTGAATGTTTCATATGATGACTACACCTGGATTGTTGACTCCAGTGCCTCCTTCCACGTTACTCCACACAAAGGTTTTTTCTTCTCTTACCGAGGTGATGATTTTGGAGTCGTGAAGATGGGAAATTAAGTGACCAGCAAGATTGTTGGTGTCGGTGATGTAACTCTGACCACGGATATCGGATGCCTACTTGTGTTGAAAGATGTAAGGCATGTTCCTGACATGCGTTTGAACCTAATCTCGGTAGGCAAACTTGATGATGCAGGGTTAGTGAACTACTTCGGTAGTGTTAGATGGAAGCTAGCCAAGGGAAACTTGGTCATGGCCCGAGGTAAGAAGGAAGGCTCCTTGTACGTGATGCAAGGAAAGATCAATGGTGGAGAAGCCAATTCTATTCGAGATGAACCTAGCTTGGAGCTATGGCACAAGCGCCTTAGCCACATGAGCGAGAAAGGGCTCCAGATCCTGAACAAGAAAGGATTATTGACCGGGTTGAAAGGCCAAGCGTTGGAAAGTTGCACGCATTGCCTAGCTGGAAAGCAGCACCGGGTTTCTTTTGTGAGACCGGATCAACCTAGACGACGCAGGTATATTCTTGACCTCGTCCATACTGATGTCTGCTCCATGTCGGAAAGATCCTTTGGAGGAGCTTAGTACTTTGTTTCATTTATTGATGACCACTCTCGCAAAGTGAGGGTATATTTGTTGAAGTCTAAAGACTAGGTACTCCAATCCTTTAAAGAATTCCATGCAATGGTTGAAAGGGAGACTGGCAAGAAGTTGAAGGTGGTCCGATCTGATAATGGTGGTGAGTATTGTAGCCCTTTTGATTCATATTGCAGAGCGGCCGGGATCCGACTTGAGAAGACGCCCCCCAAGACTCCACAGTTGAATGGACTTGCTGAGAGGATGAATAGAACTATTGAAGAGAAGGTCCGAAGTATGTTGTCCAATGCCGGATTGCCAAAATCATTATGAGGAGAAGCCGTCAAAACAGCTGTTGACTTGATCAACCTGTCACCATCACGGCCACTTGAAGGAGAAATTCCAGAAGAAGTCTGGACAGGTCGGAAAGCGGCTTATAATCAATTGAAAGTGTTTGGATGCCGAGCTTTCAAGCATATTCCTAAAGATGAAAGGGCAAAACTTGATGCGAAGACAAAAGAATGCATCTATCTTGGTTCGCCGAGATGTGAGTTTGGGTTCCGACTTTGGGATCCAATCAATAAGAAGATAGTGAGAAGT